CACACACACACACACACACAAAGGAAAAAAAAAAGGGAGCGACAAAAATCGAGCGAGATGAAATCCACTAACCTGAGTCTCCCATCTTCGTGTTGCGAGCAGTAAGTCCAGTCGCCCCGCAAAGTCGTTGCTCAACCTCCGCGCAATGCACAGCCCAAGCCTCAGAGTCCAACCTTAACAATGCAGAGCCCAACAATGAACTGCACATCTAGTACGGTCCCGACCCTAGCCGTGAGTGTAGAAGTGTCGGTTTGAGTCGCGCTGCCAAAAATGAGTGTGTTTGTCAAAAAAAAACAAATTAACGATGGGAATCAGCGCAGAATTAAAAAAAATAAAAAAAAACGCGGCGACTTAGTGAGACGACAAGAAACGAGAAGGCAAAGGAAAAGAAGAACATGGACTACATCGATGAGGAGAAACAGGAGGGGAAGGAGAAGGACGTGGAGGCGAAAATGAAGAGGAACCGATACGGTGGACAAAGAGAAGGAGGGGGAGGATAAAGGGGAGGAAGGAGGAGGAGGCTGAGAAGGAGAGGGATGAAGATAGCAGAAACACAAGAAGAAGAAGAAGAAGAAGAAGAAGAAGAAGAAGAAGAAGAAGGAGGAGAGAGGAGGAAGGTGAAGGCGGAGGAGAATGTGAAATAGCAAGAAGAAGAAGAAGAAGAAGAAGAAGAAGAAGAAGAAGAAGAAGAAGAAGAAGAAAAAGACGAAGAAGAAGAAGAAGAAGAGGGAGAAGAAGGATGTGGTAAGGGATATGAACCAGGATAGGATGATGATGATAGAGGAGGTGCTTATGGGAAACTGGAGACAGAAAATGAGGGGTAGAAAGAGAACTAGAATAAGGTTGAGGATGGCGTCCAGATGAGGAAGAACAAGAAGGGAAGGAGGAGGTGGAGGGAGGACAAGAGGGGAAGGACTGAGATGGAGGAGGAAGACGAGGGTATTGCGGTCGAGGAGGAGGACGGTGAGAAAAACATGAAGAAGACGAGATGAAGAAGAACGTGACGCAGGATCAGGAGCAAGACGGAGAGAGAAGGCAATGAAGAAGAGGAGGGGGAGGAAAGGAGGAGAGAAAGGAAAGAAAAGAGACACAGGAAAGCAAAGGGAAGGAGGAGAGGCGGAGAAGAGGAGGAAAGAAAAGAGGTAGAGAAGGAAAGGGAAAGGGAGGATGGAACGAGGAAGGGGAGCAGAGGAGGCGAGGAGGTGACGAGAAGAGTGCTCGAGAGTGGTGGAGAGAAGGGGGGAAGGAGAGGAGTGAAGGAGAGGAAAAGAGGAGGAGAAGAGGGGTGGAGGGATGGAGGGATGGAGGAGTGAGGAGGTGGAGGGGAGAGGGGAGAGGGGAGAGGGGAGAGGGGGGGGGGGGGGGGGGGGAAGGACGGAGGGGGGGGGGAGGGGAAGGGGGGGGGGGCCAACGGGGGATGAAGAGAAGTCAGAGGAGGGGGAGGGAGGCGCGTCCCTGAAGTGCTTTTGTGGTGGGTGGAAAGGAGTTCTTCTGAGCGA